AGAGCTAATAGGCGTAAGGAACAGTTACGCAGTTACAGGAGATAAGTGCACTCAGCTGGTGGTAATTAGGCTCCTCTCAAGACTATAAAATGAATGCTTTGCAGGAGTCAACATATTCACTAAAGTTGGAAAACTTTTGTGGCTAGCTTGGCAGGCTGGATTGCTGCCAAGGTTAGTCTGTGCTGGATTGCTGCCAACGTCTTGTCTGTGCTGAATTGCTGGCAACATCTTGTCTGTGCTGGCTTGCTGCCAAGGTCCTGTCTGTGTGTTAATAAATCTTTGCAGTATCTTTGTCTCGGTGTGCTTTGGTGTAGGACGAGGGGGGTCAGAACAGTTATCATTACATACATATTTGTGTGGTAGAGAAAATTGACATTTCTACATACCTCAACATCTGTAAGTACCCTAGAACTAAGGATCATGGAGCCTCATCTTATGAAACTAATATTGGGCTTAATTTTTTAAGACTCTGCACTCAGAAGTTTATGGAAAAGACAATTGGTGACTTGCCTAGAAACAGTTACAGAAATATAAATTATGTAAGTGAAATGTTAATCACACTAGAAATCTAATACTGCCATAGTAAAATGTAGAAATTTATTGTGTTTTGACAAATAAGAAAGTGGGAAAGGAAAGTTGAAAGGAAACTTGAAACTTCTCAAATTCCTTCAAACTATCTTGGAATTATTAAAATCACACATAGAATGCAGGCTACTAGTAAGCAGTGGTGTGATTCAGCCTGTTCACACCTATTCAAGAGAACTGTTTGTTAACTTTCTGAGCAATTCGGAGAACCGGTTGTTGGAAGAAATCTCCTTTTGGTTTTCCCCCCCACTTTACAGGGCTAATCCTGTAAGGAAGGCAGGAAGAAGAAATTCTGGTATTGTTTCTAGCCTAATCTTTATTGCCTGCTTACAGAAACTGCCTCTTGGTTAAGCCTTATTACATTGTACAGCTAAAGGTACTTGGCAGTGCGCCCAGACTTACTGTTGCCTGAGCTTCTCTTGAGATTTTTTTTCTTTGCTAGTACTTTGCTTTGCTTTATTATTAATATTGCTTTATTAATATTGACTTTCTTAAAAGGGAAGGGTTGTTTAAAGCTTTTTACACTGCTTTAGTGGTTCCTGGCACTGTTCTTTTGGGGTGTACTTCCAAGAGGCAGGATGCAAGTTTGGCACTGATTTTTTTTACTGCCTTTCTGGGGGCATGTGATCATTTCCTTAAATCTGGATAATTTCCTTAGGATATCTTGTGAGGTGAAACCAGCTGGTATCTTTAAGTGATGCAAATGGAACTAAGGATTGCTTTTCCTGGTTGTGAAAGGGTGCTTTGTCAGTTCACTGAACACAGGAGACTCTTGTCTCTGGGGATTCTTCAGTCATCCGGGTCATGGCTGTCTCAAAGGTGCTTTCTTGGTTTCCAGAAGTCCAGTTGCCTCTTGAAAAAACACCAAAAAAGCACTTTCTGGGGAGCTTAAATGACCTTTCTGCTAAAAGGTTTCACTTTGAGCAAGAGTTCTCTGTTGACAGTTATCATTGCATGTTAACTATTTTAATTCCTCAAGGTGCTCTGGCACCCTGCCTGATTTGTAACTCTAGCTTGTAGGTTTTTCTAATCTAATAATTGGTATTTAGGACAGCTTTTTGCAAGCAAAGAAGCTTTTTGTATTTTTGTACAGGTAGTCCTTGATTTACAACAGTTCATTTAGTGGCCATTCAAAGTTACAATAGTGACTTATGACCATTTTTCACACTTACGACCGTTGCAGCATCTTCACGGTCATGAGAGGTGAGGCACCCCTTGATTGATGTCAAGTTGGCCACACCCACCTAGTCACATGACCACTCAGCCACATCTACCCAGCTGGTCATTAGGTCAAAGAACCGATCAGTAAATTATTTGAATCCCACCACTGCTAATAAGGGTTACTTGTTAGGGAAGTTATTGTGAGGATAAGAACTCATGTCATGGTTAATTTAAATAAGAAAGAAAGAAAATCTTTAGAGTAAAAAAAGATCCTTTAAAAAATGGAAATGTTGGCCAAATGAGAAATACAAAAAGGAACATAAATGTGCGTCATGGAAGGAAATTCCAATATCTCGGGGGTTGCCACAAAGAAGAGGGAGTCAGGCTATTCTCCAAGGCACCTGAGGGTAGAACAAGAAGCAATGGGTGGAAACTAATCAAGGAGAGAAGCAACTTAGAACTGAGGAGAAATTTCCTGACAGTTAGAACAATTAATCAGTGGAACAACTTGCCTCCAGAAGTTGCGAATGCCCCAACACTGGAAGTCTTTAAGAAGAGGTTGGATAGCCATCTGTCTGAAATGGTATAGGTTTTCCTCCCTAGGCAGGGGGTTGGACTAGTAGACCTCCAAGGTACCTTCCAACTCTGCTATTGTATTGAAATGCTAAACCAGGCGATGGATTCAGGGGCAAATTGTATGATTTTCTGAAGGATGCAAAACAGGACTTTAAGTCATTAAGGCAAACATTACAAAATTATT